CATTCAGAAACGCGCCAACGCAGAAGTAGCTGCATTCGAATTTTTTCACCGACACGGCGTAACGAAATCGACTATCGCACAATAACAGTACAGCGACGATTCCGTGAGAAAACCTTGATTACGAAGATTTATGCGAAGCTGGTATCGCAGTGCTTCTTGACAGGCAATGCAGCTGAAAAGCAAAACATCACCTGCATCACAGAAAGAAACAATTGCAACAGATGCATGCACCGCAAGAAACGTTTGTCTCTGCTCATTTCACAGATAATCGTTTACTCTGCTCTGCATTATAAACCATTTATTAACCATGTTTAGTTTAATTTCTGCCTGAAGCATGACAGATAAAACTGAGGACAAAAAAAATGTTAGCAAGTAGGTTATTATAATTAGACCTGCAAATAAAACATTTTGTCCATTAATTCATTATCGCCATCATAATCAGCCTTCTTCTATCCACCACTGGAAGAAGGCCTCTCAAATACCACGTCATGTTTCGAAAAACAGCATAAAACACGCCAGTGGACCAACCTCCTTAACTTGAAGAAGGTTCATGAGACACTGGGCAGAAGAGTTTGATTTCCGCGTTCTCATCCATTTGTAGCAAATCAACATCACTTCAATTCATCCAGCTATCGACCAGGGGATCTTCGCACAGGTTGTTTGCTATTCACTGGAACCCAGTCCAATATTTCTCTGTCCAACGATGACAGATTCTTAGTACAACATGTCTGTTCATTACAATTTCAACAACTTTGCATGAAAACTCCTGCTCGTGCTCTTACCTACCTTGTTCCCATTTCCTAAATTCTAGGTACTCCGCAGTTTGTGAATAGCAGCCATCTGGTTCCAAGCTTAAAACGCACGTTTCACATCTACACGCTAGCACTGAGAGCATATACTAATACCTTCCGCTACAAGCAAAAGGGAAATTTCTCCAGTAGGAACAGTTTCAGTCTTCAACGTTGGAAAATGCCACTTTTATTGCTTTGTAAATTCCACAGCATCCGTTCTTCGTTGCAGAGACGAGCGGTTCCAGATAGACACCTCTTCAAACTTAAATCCATTGACTTCAACAAGTTTCAATGTCATGTGCTTGTTCAACGTAGCCTGAATTTTTTCAGCTTCACTTGGAGCCCTCCTCTGCTGCTGTTCAGATCTTGCATCTATTTTGGAATTTTTCTAGTGATCCGAATTATGCATCCGTCAATGGCACAAAGAAAAACACGAATGATATAATAACATCTAGCAACATTCGCAGAATTAAAACATTTATTTAACACTCTAAGTCTTTTTGCCGCGTTGGCAAATGAATATTGTCCCAGGGATCACGGCGAGCTTAATATCGAAAACTTTTGAGCGAGTTACCATTTACTGCCCTATTTGAAAATATTTTTCACCTCAATTATGAGTTGTTGTACCTAAGTAATGCAGAAATCAGGACTGCGACGAAACACCAGAGAAGAGATCTCGAAGCAATGAACAAGCTACAGCTACAGGACCGTTCAATGAAGAATCGTGGTTAAGAGAAAGAAGTCATGAATCCGAGATACTTTCCGGCGCAAACCTTTGATGACGATGACAACGGTAATCAAAAGAGCAAAATGTCGACCGATAATCACGTAATTATCGAACCGCCGATCGACATATCGGGATTATTATGGTTAGTAGTTGAATGTTGCTCAACGACCGTTCTTGTCATATCAAATGGTTAGTGTTCGGAAACACTGTTAATTCTACAGGTACAACAAACTACGTAATCCACTGCTGTATCAGTACAACAGCGGTGTCGCCACGAATTCATGACAGCACAGCTGATAGAACGTAAACAACATAAATTCCTACTTCGTTGCTTCTTTGGTTTTAAAAACGCGCATACAGTTGCCCATCTACCCATTCCACCTGCTCATCGCTTGTCCATCGGCAGCAATGGGCTGAAACGTGAGACTTGCAGGCATTCGACGGGTGGACTGGACGAACCACCGGTTCCTATGGCAACAGACCAAAGCACGAGGTCATCCAAACATTGATCGGCAGGTCATGACGAATGAGGACTCTGGCCATAGCAGTTTAGTATAAACAACAAATAATCAAAGCAGACGGAAATTAGTGCAGTGAGGGCGAAAAATACGTCGCACAACTTGTACGAATTAAAAATCGATACGCGACTCAAAACACACACGCTGCACACCTTTAAATGCTTGTTATTAAGGTTGCTACGGTGAGCGAGAACGGCAACAACTTAAAGCTATGCTACCAATCATGCCGCCGTGAACAGTTAGATATTTATTTATAAACGGCGAGAGCCGACCACGAGTTGCTAAGTGCCATTTGTAACCCTGATTTTACGAGCGCACCCCCGAACCACCTAATCATAGGGTAGACAACCAAAGTCAAATGTAGCAGTCAATCTAGAGCCGCACCGACCAGAAACGTCGTCAGCAGGGATACAACCACTTAACACAACCAATTATCGAGCAGAGTCGCTTGTATCGAAAGGAAAGATGG